GACGCCCGCTTATTTCTTGCGAGCACTAACTTCCGACACAGCACCCGCCGGAGGATGACTTAGCGCCCACCAGCCTCGAACCAGCCTTGGACGCAGATCGATCACACTGCTATCAGTTAGCGCCGGGGAGGCTGCATCCAGAACTGTCGCTCGATTTGGAGCACATGTGTGGACACCGATCATGCACTTGTATGTGCTGATCTGCGGATGCGTTTTGGCGGACGCCCACGACGACGGTGTGAGCGCATTGCCACCAGCCAACTGACAAAGCCAGCTGTTCTGAATGCGTATCAAAGTACGTTGACATGCGAATTGAGTAATCGCTCACTGGAGACAATTGAAGGTCACTGGTCACATGTTCGCCAGACCTTACTAGCAGCTGGCAAATCCTTATGTGGTATGTCTAGTAGCCAACATGAATATTGGGTCTCTTCGTGGTCTCTGGAGCTTTTCGACGCTCGCCGGCATATCCCAGCTGGAAGCGGACACAATGGAACTCGAAGAGCTCCGGCCAAGACTCCGTGCTAGCCTGAAGAGAGACCGCGAATCTTGGTGGTCTCATCGTGTGTCAGGGATGGAAGTGGCCGCTGCCCTTGGCAACGATCGCAAGTTATTCCTTCTGATACGGGAAACGGGTAGCAGGAGACCTGGTGTTAATGAAACCATACGTGACAAGAGTGGACAGCCTATCCATTATTTGTCAAAACGTTTGGAGCGTTGGGCTGAGCATTTTGAAAAGCGATTTAATCGGCTAGAATTGTTCGATTCTTCGCCGGCCACTGATCGCTTTGCTCCGTGGGCTGTCCCTTTGGATCCACCCTCTCATTCAGAAGTCGAACGTGAGATCGGACTGTTGATGTTGAACAAAGCCGCGGTACCAGGTGATCTTCCTCCAGCCCTCTTCAAATTCGGAGGCACTGCTCTTGTTGATGCTTTACATGAATTACTAGTGAAACTGTGGGAGCAGGAGACTGTCCCAACCGACTGTAGTCGCTCCGTTATTGTTCCCATCATCAAAGGAGGCTAGCGTTTGGAATGCGGCAACCATAGAAGAATCAGTCTGATCTCCATCGCCTCCAAATTACTCGCCTCCATAATCCTTCGCAGACTGACTGGCGCTCGTGAAAGCCAGGTTCGTGAGGAGCGAGGGTTTCGTCACGGTCGTAGCTGCATCGACCATATCTTCACCTTGCGTCAGTTGTTGGAGCACCGTCACACATATTGGCGGCCCACCGTAGTCGTGTTCCTCGACATCAGGTGTCTTCGATACGGTTGATCGTTGTGCGTTTTGGAATTGTCTACTCAGGAGACGTGTGCCCGAGAAATATGTAAATATTATCCGAGCATTATACGTGCGTAGCACTTGCATAGTGAGGGCTTACGGCAAGCTGTCGCCACCCTTCAATATCTCCAGCGGTGTGAGACAAGCATGCTCGCTGTCACCTTTCCCCTTCAACTTCGCTATTGACGAAGTCATGGGGATTGCATTTACAGGACATGACTTAGAAGGTGTGGAGCTACTCCCAGGAGAACGACTTCTTGACTTGGAGTGTGCAGACGACATCTGTGACAGCTCCCAGACGTGCGAAGCCGCGCTGGACAGATTAGCACTGGCTGTCAGCCACTTCTGGCTTTGCTTTACACCATCGAAATGCAAAGCGTTCCTCCAAGATTGGCAGGGATCGCCTCCTGCGTTGACCCTTGGTGAGGATCAACTAGAAGTCGTTCGGAAATTCAACTACCTGGGAAGCTTTATAAGCGCCCTTGGGATCGAAGATGAGATCACGAACTGTATAGCAAAAGCTCGAAGTGCTTTTGCTAACCTTCGCCACCTATGGCGGCGGCGCGACAATACTCTCGCCCTGAAGGGTAGAGTGTACAATGCAGCGGTACTTTCGACCTTACTGTACGATTGCGAAACCTGGTCCCTAAGATCGGCGGACATGAAGAGCTTAGTTACCTTTGACCATGGATGCCTTCGCAGTTTGGCTCACATCTGGTGGGAACACCGCGTGAGTAACGAGCATGTTCGACGCCTTGTTTACGGCACAGAAGAAGGAACTGAATCGCTCAGCACCGTTATTTCATGCACCAGGCTTCGATGGCTGAGCCACGTGTTTCGCATGCCAGACCACCGACGTTCACGGCTTGCGTTGTTTGCTCACCGGGGAGGTGGATGGAAGAAGAGGAGGGGCGGCGAAGCGATGACTTGGTCCAGAGCAATGAAGGCCCTCACTTCGGAGCTGGCCTCTGTTGGAGCTTCACGGCTCCCTGGTTAGGGTTCAAAAGACGATGAACACGTTTGGCTGGATACCTTGCTGACATGGCAAGGAGCCGACTTCAGTGGCTTTCCTGTTGTGAGTTTCTTTGTCCCTTCCCATCCCTTTTAACCTCCCCCTCCATCTACGATCTCATTTCATAGTGTAAAACATAATAATTTTTCTTTTTGCTGCATAGTAGCCGGCTGGTAGCTTACGGGAACGATGCCTATCCGTTGCTGATAGCCCAACTGGTGTGCAACTGTTGTATTTATTTTCCTTTTCCTTTATGTATTGCGGCACAGTAACTGAGGTGTTTCCCACCTCTGGCTGACGTGTATAATGGTGATGATGATGATGTCGGCAAGGTTGTGGGTAATAGACAATTGCACACCTTGTCAACACTGATGTCAGGTGCAACCACAGCGGGTATATCAGTCAACAGCCAAAATCTGAAATACGAAAATTTCAACACGTAGGCACACTTAGAGACTAGATGCAACTGCGATGCAACACACGTTCCACATCTACCACCTTTTTGACTTGGGTTAGTAAATTGAATCGGAAGCAGCGAACTTAACAAGCGCGGCGCGGATGACCATTACATATTTAAGATTCTTGTCTTCTCTTAGATGTTGGCGGAACGTGGCGACGCTGGTGGCTTACCAAACCCGCTTAGTTGAGGCATTCACGACCGCATGTGCTACAGCACAATGCCCTCGATGTCGATGGGTTATCCACCATTGACGTCCGTCGCTTTCTCAAACGACATTTCTTTTTCGCGTGCAGTAGTGATTTATCATGCATCTGGGCAACCGCCCTTTTGCTATGTGTGCCATTTTTGCCGATCCACTGCGATCGACTCTCAACACCTGAAATCAACATTAGTTCATGATAACCTCACCTTGTTCATGTCCTGGGAACGTAACTTCGGTTTTCCCTCGTGCTGCTTCCCTACACGTAGTTGACCATAAAGCAGCTGTTTTGGTATCCGGGTCGAATCCATGCGGCGAATATGCCTCAGCCGCCTCAGGTACCTCTGCAGAAGTATGCAGTCCACTGCATACATGCCACTGCGTCGGAGCATAACCTGACTGACGTGGCGGTTGTACACGATTCGGCGATCACTTTCCCAACACAGCTAAGCAAGCTGATGCCACGATAATTCGTGCAACATTGCTTGCTCCATTTGCCATCGTACAGTGGTCGAAACGCGGTTCCGTCTTGTTTCAATACTTCGGGCGTGATCCCGTCGTAACAGGCACACTTGCCGTTTCGCAGCTGAGCTAGTGCTCTCTGCGTCTCATCCAGTGTCGGTGTGTCGGCAAGACAAGTCTTCATCTCTTGTTGTTGCAGCTCGTGCAACACAGTCCAGACAATCTCTGAACGGTTGTTTAAGGAACAATCAAGGTGTTACCGCCAGAACTGCATTATGTCTGCAGTTTGTGTGCAGCCAGCACCTGCACTACCATCAATCAGCATCCTCAGCGGCTCCAACCTCGGTCTATACACCGTCTTCAAGGTGTCAAAGAATTCCTTGTGTTGGCGGCGTTCGGCGTAGCATTCCATCTGTTTTGCCTTCTCCGTCCATCATGCATTTTAAATGCGACTGAGCTTTCGAGTCAGTCGCCGTCGAATTTTGCTGAACTGACTTTTTCCCATGTCACTGGGGTCCGCTACATGGGCCGCAAATGCTGCATTCTTCTTAGACACCAATACCCCAATCGTCGCATTGTTCTCATCAAACCTATCTGCTCGCTTATAGCTTGCGCGCCCGATGGTCTCCTTGGCAGCAGCTGCCATCTGGTCGCGTATGTGGTGCTACAGGTCGCCCACTATGGTTATGCATTTCACATCACACAGGTGTCTGACCATCGCCTTCTCCAGCTCAATCCATTTCTCCACAGTACCAAGGAAGAGAATATTAAATTTACTCCTCCGATTCACGACTGGCACCCAGTGCGTACCTTACTGCACCTTGATATACAACTTGGTACGCACCAGTTTGTGGTCAGTGCCACAGCTCCATGCAGTGCGTGTTCTGCGCACTCCACACATGCGACGCTGATGTACGATAACATAGTCGGGCAGGTGAGTGTGACCACTCCGTGGGTGTGTCCAAGTTGCTGTATCACTCACACTCAGTGCAAACCAAGTGTTCGTGATCGTCAGGCCGTGAGTGGCAAACAGTGAGAGCAGCCTGTTACTGTTCGCATTCGCTGAATCAATTCCATGCGGACCGATGGCATCTGTCCACACCGATGCATCACGCCCAACGCGTGCGTTGTAATCCCCCAGCAGAAATAGTCGGTCACTCCTCGGCACAGACCGTATCACGGATGACAATTGAGTATAGAGGTGATCACACACGTCATCAGGATAACAGATAGTTGGACCGTAGGTGCATATAAACCATCGCAATGAGGCTGGACCTTGCCGTGGTGCGAGGGTTTGCGTGCCTCAGCGATACATTGAGCTATGCTAGTTGGTGCTTTTTTGCACCTTCAGAGCCACTCATATCAGATTGATCAATGGTTATAGGCCAGATAAACTCAGCCTCCCGGTCCTCCAGGTTGGGGGTTGAAATGAGCATTGCTCCTTATTCTTTAAAACGGACTCTTGTAGCGCAACACCAAACTCGCTGCCTTGCGGTCATATTTTTAACCAATGGCTTTGGTTGAGAACCCTAATCGTCCTCCTGTCTAATTCTGGGCAACCTGACAGTATCCTGCCCACGCAATACTATGAATCCTTCGTCAAACAATTTCTTGATGCTGTGATCACCGCAGAGGATAATCAACGGGTTTCGATGGCTCGGCCACGTCTTACTCATTCCAGTCCACCGGCTCTCGCGACGTGCGTTGTTTGCGCGCCGCGAGTGTGGATAGAAGAAAAGGACGAGTGGCCAAGCGATGACTTGGTCTAGAGCAATGAAGCCCCTCACTTCGAAGCTGGCCTCGGTTGGTGCGTCTCGGCTCCATGGCTGGCGTCCGAAAGACGACGAACACGTTTGGCTGGATACACTTGCTTATACGACTATGCGTCGACCACAATGGCGTTCTTGCTGTGAGTTTCTTTGCCCCACCCCATTCCTCTTAGCATTCCCTCCAACCACGATCTCACTACTTAACCTTAATTTAGTGTAGTAATTTTTTGTTGCATGGTAGCCGGCTGGTAGCTTACCAAAACGATGCCCATCTGTTACCGGTGGCTCAGCTAACTTGCATCTGTTGCATATTTTTCTCCTTTTGTCTTCTATACATTGCGGCACAGTAGCTGAAGTGTTTCCTACCTCTAGCTAACGCGTATAATTATGATTTTGATGACGTGGTAAACTTACCTCTTCCGAGTCGTAGGCGAACAGTCATCAGTCGCGCGCAGATGCCAGTGGGCTCGTCCACTAGGCGATCGGATATTGCAAATCCGACCCCATGTTCACGCGGTGCTGGTGGCGTTTCCCACCCAGTGGAACGTATAGCCGTCACCAGCTTCATAGAGGTTACCTAGCTAAGCGAGGCGGTTCTCGCTGAGTGCCTCAATATTGATGTTGTAGCGCGCCACTTCCATCGCGACCAGTGCAGTGAATCGCTCGGGACGCTCACTCGTATCCCGGTCGAGCAAAGTGCGCACGTTCCATCACTCAATGTTAAGCGCTCTACGCGGAGACATGATTGCCTTGGTGGGCACCGGTATGGGAGGTTGCGACCTGGATTAAAGGAAGTAGTGGATTAGGTGAAACGGGGAGGGGAATGGTATGTGCAGGGGAAGAAGAGAGGCGCTAGCAGTAGCGTGTCTTCGCTTATCCACTCTGCTGTATGCAGCAGGTAAAGGGACCCTTTTCCTAAGGTCACTGCTCAACGGCCGATGCAGAATGGATTTATTACTATTGGCGTAATTCATGGTTGGGGGGTTGCACAGCTATATATATATATATATATATATATATATATATATATATATATATATATATATATATATATATATATATATATATATATATATATATATATATATATATATATAAGCACGAATCACGACAGTCATTATCAATGCTCGTTATTCCTCCTAGTTTCTAGCGGTTTTCCGTCACTGTTTCTCGCATTTAACCGTCTTTTTACATCCGCTCTCATTTTTATGTGTCAACTAATTTAATCCACTCCATTTTCTTGCTCGGTACTATTTGTTCAGCTTAAGTATGTTGTTTGTACAACCCTTTTTGGGTCATAGTAACCCGATCAGTCAGTTTAACTATCTTGAGCTCTATCATCCGCTTCTGCATTTTACCGTTTGTTGTGAATACGACTTACGTGATACTTTGCTCCGTAGCCGGACTGTTTGCACTGTACTAGAATGCGTTCATTGTTTGCACATTTTGTTGTAGATCGACGATGGTGTTGACACGGGGACCGAAGCAGTGATGAATCTAGCAGTCGCTAGTGCTGGCAAAGGAGCGTTCGTTATCACTTTGGAAGGAACACACTGTGTGGAGTACCTAGCTGGTCTACACAAGGTGTCAGATGCTGCTGATCAAGAAGTGAAGCAACCACAAACAGAGCACGGGGAAGTACACGTTCGTCGACGAAAAGGTAACTCATGTCTCCTTCATCGATTGCATATTTCTTCGTCGCAGTCAGTCTAAACCGACTTGACCTACCTTCGTGTACTGTCGGTAATGTGCGTTTTCCGCATTGCGCTTTCACGACTTTGATTTCTGTCACCTTCCTTTATTCGATTTCCGAATCTGCCTTTTTCAACAATGAAATGGTATCTGACATTCACAACGTTTTCTCCTGGGCCACTCGCGAATTCATGACTTCGTCTCTCTTCTGAAGGGTTTTCGAAACCGATCTACTGTCCTCTAGCAAACTGAAGCTGACATGCATGAAGTGACGTTGATTACACCACCTATGCAATCGTGTTTGTTAGCACATATTTGTTTGCTTGAGTCATTATTAGTGCGAACCCCTGAGTTCCCACTGATTCGTCTTCCAAGTTCCCAAAACAGCAGTCGCTTCTTTGCTCTCTTGTCACTTGAGTAAGCTATCTTCAGCGGATTAACACATTTCCGGGTTACATACCCCTTGCGTGTACTAAAGTCCCATGGAAGCTAGGCTTGATGTCCTATGGGGTCCGATCAGTCACATACTCAATTACTTCATTATACAGGACCATGCGCTCTGATTAATTAATCGTCATCTTCCCAGCGTTCAATTGTGCAGGGTGGCCAACATGATTTCCCATGTAAACACCTAGAGGACTCTTTGATTGCTTGATGAGATGTACCAGACCCTGAGCGAGTTACCCAATGCCTCTCATGCATAACTGACACCATGATCTTCGTTTGCCTGTTTGCCTGCTGGCTTCTTTCGTTCCGCCTGTGATTCTGGTTGATGCAACAGAAATCACCACATGTTTTGTTACCCACGTGAGTCTAAGCGTTGGTCAACTATATCTGTCTCTCCCGCTACTGGCTTCCTCTACTCTTCCCCACTTGCTGCTTTCGCCGTGAATGTATTCACTTTTCATTGCTTTTACTGCAACTAATTAGCACAGCCACCACCATTCTATTTCTGTCTCCCTTGTCAGGCACACAGTGATGTGACCATAGTCCTGTACTGCTGCAAGTGAAGTATATGTTGCACCTTTTCGCTTAGGTCAAACCTAAACATTGAATCCCCTGACGTGTAAAGTATGTCCGTCCTCCAGTGAAATGCTAGGGTGGAATACGAATGTTATTCAGTCTTCCGATGCAACCACACCGATTACTTACTTCGGCAATCTGGTAGTCGTTCTTGGCAGAAACTAGGTACTCTTCGCTCGTGCCGGTCCTACGTCCAAGGACTGGCTCCATCACGGAATGTGGATACAGTTCAGCTGCCGATCTGCGTGCACAGTATATGTATGTTTCCCCACTTTTCCCTCCGCATTTTACGCTTTAATATGGTTCGCATCTAGTTGTCTCTAATTTGAAATAGATATCGGTGCATCATTATTGCACCACAATCCATGCATGATCCTTTCAGAAATACAAGTTTCCTCTATCTGTTCACAGTCACACTGGTCTGGAACATAATGGTACTTCTAATTTAATCCCTTTAACCGAACTACTATCTGTTAGAGGAGGGCCAACGTTGTGTCTCACTTCGACTGTTGCCTGTGCTTACTGTTTACCATATAGAGTCGCTGTATCATAACCGACCATTGCTTACGTACCCATTCTTACCTCCCCTCTTTCTCACGTACCCACCATCGCGTACGCTGACACCTGTACTGATGTCTGTCTCTGATAGCCGGGTGTCGCTACGGCTTCTTTTCCAACCCGATCATACGCAGCAGTCGACTTATCATTAAGTATCAAAAGACAGCTTTGACATCATACAGTGGTATATTCTCCGAATACTCTGTTTTGATGTGCAATATGTTCACAAAACTAGGATCCGCGTCTCACACTCTTATCGTACTCATCGAGCCTGAATTATCCTGCCTATTGATTGCATTTTCCGGAGGTTCCACTGCAGTAACCAAAATGTTCATCATCAACAATAGTACATCAACCATTTGAACTATTGCTTCGCTGCCGTACAACCTTGTTGATCTATGGACTAAAGAATACTTAGAGGGAGAGAAAATGGACTTACTGGAAAACCTTAATGCCCTAAACAAACATTCGGAATCAAAGTGCCTTGTCAACAACGTACCCACACAAACAGTTGGCTATTATGCATAGATAAGGTGGCTTCGGCGAGCCTGTTTCTTTTTAGTTTTCATTGCCCTGTGTCATAATCAGTCATTACCCCTCAGATAACTCAGAACCCAACACACTTTAAACAGGCAGTCCGTTATCATCATCCTCAATACATGTTAGCCGATGGTGACAAACATACCTCAGCTAGTGTGCCGCAGTACAAAATGGTAAGTCATTAAGCAATCTAGACTTAAAAGTTACAAAATTGTAATCTAATGCTAACATCACACTTGTGATTGTTGTTGGAGGGGGAAGCTAAGTGGAAGGAAAGACATAAACACACAACACAGACGCCATTAAAATCGACTCTTCGCCATGTCGGCTGGTGTATCCAACCAAATGTGTTTATCATCGTTCGGTCCCCAACCGACGCCAACTTCGATGTGGGCGACTTCATTCCTTTTGACCAGTTCATCACTTAGTCTTCCCCCCCCTTCTTCCGTCCACACCCCCGGCGCACAAACGACGCACCTCGCGGGAGTCAGCAATCCGACTAGGAGACAGCAACAGGCACGCCACTGGTGCCGACTACGAGCCATGTCCTGTAACGTTTCAAGCCAAGCACAAGGCCGGTCACGTGTACTCCAGCCTGGAAGGCGATACGGGCCGGTGGCGCCGAGTTTAGGCCTCAGTGACTGCATTTGCAGCTGTGAAGTCAATTTTTGTCCACCTCGAGCCTTGCGCCACCTTACATCTGTGAAACAAATAATATCCTCCTCGGTAAGCGGTGGCCAGGCATTACGTAGTAAGTACCAAGCCAACCAACTTAGTCCTATCTGTTGTTCTAAGGAATTAGCATAATCACCACTATCTAGTACTCGCTCAGACACACCATCGATGCGGACGCGATGATGCCATTCTACACCAACAATTCTTCTCAGACAATGATGATCAAAGATTTAAGGGACTGTAGGTCCTCGGATCGGAGGAGCCAAGCCTCACTCCATAGAGTAGAATGGCCTTCACTGTAGCCTTGTAAATACGTCCTTTCAGACCGAAGGAAACCTCTTTCTGACGCCACAGATATCTCGAACTCAAGAAGGCAATTCTGGCTTTCGCAATGTTTAAATTGAATTCAGTGGTTATGCGCACATCGTTACCGATGCAGCTGCTAAGGTAGATGAATTGATCAAATCCCTCGAGTTCCTCTCCCCATAAAGGGTCGAGAGGGTGGTGGTCCTGCAACAACCCTTTGCACTTTGAAGGTGCGAAGCGTATGCCAAATGATAGGATCACTAGTAAGGTTACACGTGCTTGTTTGGACCGCCGCGTTATTAAAAACGAAGACAGTATCATCCACCTAATCAGGGTCAACTATCATTTCACCAAGCATTACCTAAGCGCACGCATCATGAGGCCCCGCAAAAGAACACTCCATGATGCAGTCGACGACGCAGTTTTACAAAACGGGGAAATTGAGCAACTGCAACTTATTGCCGGAAAGGCATCCGATAAATCACCTTACTACTATCACTGTACTATAGGGCGCATAAAATGTTTTTATGTTTCACGGGAACACCTTTCTGTACAAGTATTTCAAACACAGTGGATCGATCGACTAAGTTGTTAAAGTCCAAGAACACAGCTATTGTTGGCCTGCGATATGTGTGCCGCAGAGTGTATATGTGGTCTATGCAGCCCCGTAATGGGTCGAAGCCTGTTTGCGCTTCCCTAATCCGAAATTCTCGTTCCGCAGTGAGGCTACATACGAGAATTGCGGCTATTACTTTTGTCAATCCCGCCGTTCTCTGGCTGCTTTGGCTGTCGCAGAGGATAATAAACGGCGCCCTTTCTGTTGTATCAAGTAGGATGAATAGGGGCTTGGATGCTATTGCTCCAGCGTATGCTTTTTCGCCCCGTTCCGTTCCGACTTCGCTTTTATCACTCTCGTTTTCAACCCCCCAATTCTTGGCCATTCCCCACTTTGCTTTGATAGGCCTTGGTCTTATAGTTTTAATTTCCATGCAAACGCGGAGCATCACTCCTGCCCTTTCGACAAACCCCTGTCCAACCAAGCGGTCCACCTCAATTCATCGGCTTTCCTTTGGAGCCATCGATCCTCATTCACTTGCCCGAACATTAGAGACACTCTCGATCGATCTCTGTTGCGTATCGGGGACCCACCTGCAAGTCTCGAGCTTTGTGCTCACTCTGCGATCCCCTTCAGGTGACGCCAGCAGTATTTTCACATTGTGCCTATCCGGCGACGATGCATCATCGAGCCCCGCCTGGCCACTGTTGTTATTGCCCTGAGTCCCCGGGCTGAAGCTGCTCTGGTTGATTGGATTCTAATCAGTAGCCGGATGTGTGCGGTCCGATTGGCTGGCTCGTTCAAAGCTTCGAAGTCGTGCGGGACTAATAGGTGTCTATTCATCATCGATGCCTACGCGCTCACAAACTGTAGCGATGATTCGGTAAATAACGACTTTTACTGACAACTGACCCAGCTTCTTCGCCACAGAAGAAGCGCGGACACTGTTGTGCTGCCGGGGAATCTGAACGCACAAGTTGGAAAGTTGTCCACTGATGAAATGCATCTGGGCAGTCAGCACGGTGTAGGCTCCCGTAATGATAACGGTGTGCGGTTACTTCATTTATGTGAAGATGCCCGCTTATTTCTTGCGAGCACTAACTTCCGACACAGCACCCGCCGGAGGGTGACTTAGTGCCCTCCAGCCTCGAATCAGCCTTGGACGCAGATCGATCACGTTGCTATCAGTTAGCGCGGGGGAGGATGCATCCAGAACTGTCGCTCGATTTGGAGCACATGTGTGGACACCGATCATGTACTTGTATGTGCTGACATGCGGATGCGTTTTGGCGGACGCCCACGACGACGGT